AGGGACACAGGAAGTACCTCCCTCTCTCGGGGAAGCTAGGAGCACTGCAGGAGGTAAGATTTTATCTCTGAGCTCTGACCTCTCGGCTTTTCTCTTTTACCTTGGCTCTGTGTTTCTTATTTTAATAATACGATTGGTTACATCTACAATGATCGCCTAAATGCACAAGGCCCTCTGCAAAATAAATAATCAAAAAGTTAAAACACCATAATCCTAAATTGAAAGTTAAAATATCAGTTATGAATTCTGGATTGCTTACAATTTCTGATACTCTACCCATTGAAAGGGGATAAAAATTCATTTTATTTATTTATTTTTTGAGACAGGGCCTCTGCGTACCCCTGGATGGCCTGAAACTACCTACGTAGGCCAGGCTGGCCTCAAACTCACAGAGATCCGTCGTCTGAGCGCTGGGATTAAAGACATGCACCACTGCTGGGCATGGTGGCACACACCTTTAATCCCAGCACTCAAGAGGCAGAGGCAGGCGGATCTCTGTGAGTTTGAGGCCAGCCTGGTCTACACAGCTAGTTCTAGGACAGCCAAAGACACACAAAGAAACCCTGTCTTGAAACAACAACAACAACCACGGAACAAAGACAAACAAAGGAGCAAAGGCCAGAGAGTCAGGGGGCCAGGGGTCAGGGGTCTGGCTCCTGCTATGTCTAGGCAAGAAAGCACAATTTCAACTGGGGTAGTCAAATAGAAAAGGACTGGTTGGGTTGGCAAGAGTTGGAGACAGATGATGCGGGGCTGAGGGAAGGGGAGGAGAGAGGGGGAAGAGGAATGGGGTGTGCAGCTTTCTAGTTTGGGCAATTAGGTAGGCAGATGGTGGTGTCATTCACTGACTGAGAAGGGAAAAGAAGAGGAAAAACAGGTCTGGGAGTTCAGTTTTGGAGCTGATGTTATGAGTGAGTGCCTGAGGAATGTCTGCAAAGGGATGTGATGTCGCTATTGAGGTTATGGGGCTAGGGCTCAGACCTCATTTCCCCTCATCCACCAAAATCCAGGCAGAGTTTTCCCCAACTCAGAAAACAATGTATATACAGCTCCTCCCTGCAACTAAGTTGGCCACGGCCCCTTTTAAACATTCAGATATCAGGTCAGATGTCACCTAAACAGAAAATCCTTCCCCAGGATCCAAGCTACAGTCAGTGTCAGGACAGCTAAAGATTCACATTGGTCTGATTTTGTCATGATGGTATTGCATAAAATCAACTCCCAAAGGAAGGAGGGAGAGAAGAAAAGTTGGCTAACAGATACAAAACTGGGGTTAGAAAGGAAGAATAAATCCTTGCTACTATAGGGTTGCTATAGGTTACTATAATAAACAATAACTCATAAATTTCAAAATTGTTAGGAGAGGGCTCAGTTGGTAGAGTTTGTGTACAAGCTTGAAGACCTCAATTCCATCCTCAGAACCCATGTAAAGGTGAAAGGAGAGAATTGACTCCCCAAGGCTGTACTCAGACCTCCACACGTGTGCTGTGGCACACATGCCCCACACACATCATGCACATACACAAAATAATAATAGATACATAATTTAATTTAAAAATGAAAACAAAATGGAAGGTTCCTGAGTACTGACACACAAAGTTGATATCTAGCCTATACACACACATACACATACACACACACACACACACACACACACACACACACACACAAAGGAGGAAAAGGAGAAAAATTTTTAATATTCTCACCAAAAAAAAAATACATGTGAGGTAAGGGATATGCTAACTATCCTGACTAGATCATAAAATACATGAAATTTCAAGCATCAATAACAAATACAAAAATACAGTAAGCTTCCAGAAACTCAGTACACATAACAATGAACATTGATTTCTCACCCAGGGGTCTGTGGGTCAGCTGGGTCAGGCTGGGCTCCAAGCTTTGGGTCATGCGCAGTTGCCTCACATGTCTGTTCATGGTATGTCCAGCTGAAGGACTCCCTGATGCCTGGTGTTCTCAGGGCCAAGGACAATTGCTCAAGAGGTGGAAAAGGAAACACTCAGTGACTTGGAGGAGCTAGCTGCTGCCACTTCCACACATATTCTTTTGGCCCAAGCAAGTCACATGACTAGGTCCAGTATCAACAGGGTGAGGAAGTATACTCCTCTCGAAGTGGGGAGGGTTAGGTGAAGTAAATATTTGCTGAGCAATAATATAATCTACCAAATGACCCCAATTCTTTTTTTTTTTTTCTCCTGGAGAGCCACAACACAGAGCAACACATCCCTATGGAAATACTATCTTCTATGAATGAATGGAGAAAATGTGCCTTTTAAAGCAAGAAGATTCTCTCCACTCTTCAAATGAGGAACCTGAGGATCAAGAAAGGGAAGTGACTGGCCCCACAGCCATAGAAACCAGCCTGTCTGGCTCCTGTTCTGTCTCCTACATATAAGGAATTAAGCAGCAAAAACACTAATTTCTTGGTAATTAAGGCCATATTACTCACCCTGTCCTCTCACGGAGGCTTGGTGAACAGGTATAGAACCATTCTGCAAGAAAGGTCTTTTGCTGATTCAGTCTCAGATCTCACTCAGAATCCAGGTAGTACTTTGGTTCGTCATTTCCAGTTTCCCAAGCCCCAAATGCTAAGTGTGTGTTGAACGGATGAGTCATCCATACTGTGAAATTTTAACTGCTGCTTACGTGTTCTGTGAATTCTGTGTTCTGTCCCACAGGGGCCTACCCTAAGGTACAGACGGTTAGTGAACCTGAAGTCTCAAACACACAGTGAGCTAAAAAGTGAGAGACAGAGGCCTAGGAAATGTTTAGCAGGGCATGAATCAGATAAGCAATCAGCAACCCTTCTGAATTGGGGTTACTTAAGACTTTAAACTGCTTTGAGGTTTGTGTACTGTGTAAATAGCTCAGTGAATACAGTTTGCTTCTATAGGTATGAATTCAGGTGTGTTTCTGCTTGAATAGGCTACAATCAGAAACGGGTGTGGCATATGGATCCAATGGGTATTTCCCATCTGGAAATATTTTCAAGTTTATACTAGCGTGCAAAAAGCAATTACTTGTTTGTTGGTTGGGAAACTCTTGAAAATCCTCCTCCTCCATTATCTACTCCTACACATTTGCCTGAAGCCTGTTTTCAGAAACAGAGTCAACTTCTAACCACTCCTTCAGTGGCCAAGAAAGGCAGTGAGTATACCATGTGCCAAGTGCTGAGTGAGCCACCAGGGTGACAGGCGGGGAAACAGGTGGTGTCCAGAGTCGGCTAGGCCCACATTCACCCCATAGCTGACATGGATGGCACTGGACCATGAGCCAGACAGCGTGCTAAGTGCTCCTCCTGGATTATCACGTTTAATCCTTGCAACAAGTTGATGAGGTAGGCGCTATTATTACACTGCTTTATAGCTGTGGAAACCAAAGTGCAGAGAGGCAAAGGAAATTGCCCAAGGTCACATAACTAGCAGATGGCAGAACTGACATTTGACGCTGGGGCCTGTGCTCTAAAATGCTCCCCTACACTGCTTCCTATTAAGAACTCGCCCACATTCCTGGGGCGGTTAAGTGGTAGAGTCAGAAATCACAGCAGAAACCCTCATCGACCCGGAAACACTGTGCTCTGAATTGATAGGTCACCTTTCTTCCTTCCAACCCTCCTCATTTCTGGATGCCATACTAATATGCTGGGGACCTTGGGGGGTCCCCCTGAGCCTCCTTTTTTTAACAAAGAAGAACATTCCTTACCATGAGAAGTTGCAGGGGGCTCATTTTAGAAGATGGCTCCTCCTATCAAACATGGTAGACACTCACTCAGGATATATCTGTGCGCTTCCTGATTTCTAGGATTGGGTGTACTTAGCTAAGTAGTTCTAGGAGTGAATCCACCCAACAGTCTCAATAACTAGCGATGTGCGGGGGGGGGGGGGGGGGGGGGCAGGAAAAGGCCAGAGGCGTGCACTGGGTAAAATGTCAAGGGTTGCGAGTGCCCACAGAACTCAATTGAGGGAGCACTGGAATAAACAATCCCCAGAAGGAGGCAGCTTGGTTCGTCATCTTTCCTGTTTTTCCAGCTTGGCCCAATTCCAAAACCTCATCTTAATCTTGTCAGGATTTTGGCCCTCTGCCCCAGGAAGGAGCCGCCAGGAGGCTTAACGCCAGCCAAGTCTTCCAGGAAGTGATGTCTTTTGTGGGTCAAGAGAAAGCAAAGCGGAGCAGCTTTCTGGAAGGGAGAAGGCGGCAAGGACAGAAACAGGCAAGGGCCAGCTAGCCAAGGCCCCCTCGAACAGCGCAAAGGCTGCGGTTTCGAATGAGGCAAGGTTTACCGATGGTGTCGCTGGCAGAGCTGGGGGTAGCAATGGACTGCATGGACTGGCTGCTTACCCACAGAGCGGCCATCTCTCCTCATTCCCTCCAACTTCTTCCAGTGTGGCTCCCATAGGCACTGAAAGAGGACACAGTGGCTGTAAAGACATTAGTGCAAAGATTTTAGCTGTATTTTTTTTTGTTACTTTTCCTATTATGCTAATAGACCGTGACAAAAGCAATTTAAAAGAGAAAGGGTTTTTTAGGGGAGAAGGCTCACAGTTAGAGTGTACAGTCCATCACAGCAGGGAAGTCCTGGTAGCAGAAGAGTAAGGCAGCTGGACACACATCAGCAGTCAAAAAAATAAAAGAGACGAAGGCTTATTCTTATCTGTTTCTCCTTTTTATACTGTCCAGGATCCTGTCCCAGATAATGGTACCACCCACAGTGGGTGGATCTTCCCAACTCAGTTAACCAAATCAAGATAATCCCTCCCAGAGGCCTGTCTCTAAATGAATTCTGGATCTCATAAGATAACAACTGACAATAAAGTCACATTGGCCATGTGGGAACTGGTGGTGAGACCTTTGAAAGAGTTAGCACGTCCCAAGCACCTACTGCATGTCTGTACGGTACGGTACAGGGCACTTTTAACCTGGTGTGTCACCTGATGGGCTCACTAGCCTTGAGAAGATTACACCCTCATTTTGTAGACGAGTCACCTGGAGGAGACAGTTCCTTTTCAACTCTATCATAACTGCCACCCAAGTCCCAAACCAGGCTATCCACTTTATCTTGAGCATGCCCATTTGAGGACCCTTCATATTTCTGGAACTCTGAGCTGTCCTGAACTTAGCATCTTCCCCTCCCACCGATTTCTGGTTCCCAATCACAGCTTCCCTATTCAGAGCCACAATTATCAGCCTTCATCCACCCATCTCCAAATAGAAGCCTGGACCGTGGGTCCAACCTCTGACTCTCTCTCCCAGACATAGGCTTTGCTCTGCTCTGAGATTTGCAGCATAGTTAGGAATTCATGTTAATGAAATCAATTTTAATAACATTTAAATCCAATTTTCCAAAATACTGTTGTTATTCCAACATGTAATCAATGCAAAAAATTAGTCACATTTCGGGGTTGGAGGATGGCTCAGCAGTTAAAAGTTCTTGCAGAGATCCTGGGTTCAGTTCCCAGAAACCCCATGACAGCTCACAACCATCCATAACTCCCCAGTTCCAGGGGATCCAGTGCTCTATTCTAGCCTCTGCACAGACACATATGCAGGCAAAATAGCCATACACGTGCAATAGAAATAAATATATTTTTAAGCATTATTGACATTTTAAACCTTGTGTTTATCTTACACTCGTAGCCCATCTTGATTTGGATAGTCCAGTAACACCACAAGCCAGTGGGTCCCAGATTTAACAACACATCTTTAAAGAATGTTTGAAGCTGGCCGACCTGTTTCCTGTTCTGGGGGACAGTAATTTTGAGAAATATTCTAGGCATTCTGCAGGGGGGAAACAGGAGTTTAAGTCAAATAAGAATTGAAAACAACAGTAACAAAGTGAAACCGAGTTTTCTACTTTAAGGATCTTCCAGAGTTCTCTTTGTGCTCATGTAAAATGTGATACTAGAAACAGAACAGAAAGCATGTAGCATTTCCCTCAACTTATCTGAGCTCAGAGTTCTGTTTTCAGAAAACATTTCTGAGGGCTGGTGTCCAGAGGAGCACACTCTTGCAAGTGTAGTTTGAGACATATCCTTGACACAGTAGGTTCCTCAATCCCCAAAGAAAGAACTCAAAGAACCACCTCAGATATCCCTGTCCTTGAAACATGACTACTGGGTTGACGTATTCTGGGAAGCTAGAGAGGACGGGACTGGAATTGGTAGGTAAAAGTTCCAGCATATTTGAGTTTAAAAAAAAAAAAAAAAGGGGTGTGTGTGTGTGTTCTGTGTGTGTGTGTGTGTGTGTGTGTGTGTGTGTGTGTGTGTGTGTGTGTTTAAATTGTTTAAAACTAAAATGAGAGGATGGGGAGATGACTCTACTGATAGGATTTTTAAAAGTAAAAGGGATAAAGGGCGGTGCCTAAGCATGAGGACGTGGCTTTGAATCCTCAGCACCAATGTAAAAAGCCGGACATGGCAGCATGCGTCTATAATCCAATTGCTGGGGAGAGGAACATGGTAGTCTTTAACATTAGACAGACAGTTGAGCTGAATGGGTGAGCTCCAGATTCAGTAAGAGACCCTGTCTCAAAAAATAAGATTGACACATACAAACTAGGGATAGAGAGAGGGCTCAGTAAGTAAGAGCACTTGCTGCTCTTCCAGAAGACCCAGGTTCAGTTCCAGCACCCACATGCCCAGTCAGCACCATCTATAACTCTAGTTTCAGAGAATCCAAGGGCCTCTTCTGGCTGTTAGGGCACACATATGTATGTGATGCACAGACATATGGCAAAACATCCATCCATACAATAAAAATAAAACCACCTAAAACTAAGTTACTCGAGTGGTCTAGCCAATTCAATAGGTGATCTTGTGAGATGAAGGTTTCTTGCATCACTAAGAGTAGCCAAAGCTCCAGTGTCTTGTCAGGTAGATAGGAAGCTCCTCCCAGAGTCTCTAGTTTCCCTTTTTCAAAACCTTAGGTGGGGAAAAAGCAGTAGTGGGAAAAGAGCTTGAAGGTCAGAGGAAGTGATCAGAAATGGTCTGGGCCCTTTCCTAAGAACAGAGTAGGGGCCGGGAGTGGTGGCGCACACCTTTAATCCCAGCACTCAGGAGGCAGAGGCAGGTGGATTTTTGTTCATTTGAGGCTAGCCTGGTCTGCAGAGTGAGTTCCAGGACAGCCAGGGTTATATCTCAAAAACACAAGAACACACTAGGATTCTGGAGGCTCCAGAGCACGATCAATTGGTAGCCCAAGTTCCTCTGAGACTTCAGACTCTTGGTTCAATCCAAGAGACTCTCGATCCATTATCCCAGTCACCTGGTCACTGACAAATCGGATGAGTCATGATCTCTCACAGACCACGGTGTGTCTGGGTGGTGGTCGGGAAGATGTTTCTTTCGAAATTGGCACCAGTGGGTGGGGTCCAAACCAGGCAAGGCCCAGCTCTGCTGTGGAAGTCGTCGGAATAGTGGTCACCCTTAGGGGTTTGTGGTGGGGAGGAAGCAGGGGGAGGGGCTCACAGTGCTGGCAACATTTAACTTTTTTATTATGTATAGGTCGTAAAGGTGTTCAGTTTGTGAAATGTATCAAGCTGTACATGTTTATTCTCTCTCTGTCTCTGTGTTTGTGAGTGTGTGTGTGTGTGTGTGTGTGTGTGTGTGTGTGTATGTGTGTGTACACGTGTGCCCAGCACCCACGTAGAGGTCAGAGGACAGCTGTCAGGATGTCAGTTCTCTCCTTCCACCTTGCTTTTAACGCAGGATCTCTCTCAGTTATTTCTGATACTGGGCTGCACACTGGTCTGAGAGTTGTTTGATTCTCCTGTTTGCCATCAGAATGCTGGTGTTACCGACCTGTACCATCACAACTGTCTTTTCTATTTTCTCTTTCTTAGGGTCTCACTATGTAGTCCTGGCTGTCCTGGAATTCACTATGTAGACCAGGCTGTCCTCAAAATCACAGAGATCCTCTTGCCTCTGCCGAGTACTGGGATTAAAGGTATGTACCATCATGTCAGCTCTCACACCTTTTTTTTTTTCTTTTGTCGGAGCTGAGGACCAAACCCAGGGCCTTGCACTTGCTAGGCAAGCGCACTACCACTGAGCTAAATCCCCAACCCCCTCACATCTTTTTTGGTGTGTGGGCAGCAGGGATCGAGTTAAGGTCACCAGGCCATTTCCCCACCCTGAGCCCATTTTTATGTGTAGTTTTTCATATTACATAGTGATAGACTTCCATAAACTGCTTTTGTGATGATAAAATACACTAACCAACTAAGAGGAAAATCATGTGACTGATAAACCCAAGTAAAACTTAACAGACTAGGCTAAGATTTGAGTTGGGGAAGAGGGGGTTAATCACCAGCTGGGTGGTTTTCCCAAACACGGTATGTTGCTGGCTAAAGCATAGCTAAAGGTTAGTTTGCTGCAGAAAGGTCCACAACCATCAACATCCAGAGAGAAGAAGGAACTGAACCAGCTACCCTACAGCATCCAGGAGCCCACAGGAATTACACGCAGATGTACCTGCAAGCTGGGGCCTTTCTGAATTGGGTTCTGTGTCCCCATGCCTATCACAGACCCTAGCACAGAGTAAGACACTCAGCTAGCTGTCTTCTTCCTTCTTAGATTTCGGTGGTGACTTGGGAACCAGAAATGCCCAGGCCCACCATGAAAAGGACTGCTGTGTCTCATTCAGGGCCAGCAAGGATCACAGAGGCAAGCAAAGCTGGGCTGAGAATGGAAGGGGAAATGAAACCCTGCCACAGCTCACATGTGCTCAAGCAAAGAAGCCACCTGCGGTCAGTTCAAGTGTGGCTGGGGTAGAGGGGGTGCTAGAGCAGTGGGGGGAGTAAGGACGGGAGAGCTCAGGTGGGGATGGGGGCAGCCAAAGATAACAGCAGTTAAGAATAACAGGCAGTATGTCATAGGGTGAGGGCGGCGTAGGTCTAGGGTAGGGAGAAGGTGGCTCTCAGGCGGTAGACTCAAGAGATCAAAGAAAACAGCAGCTAATAAACCTTTGCGCAGAAGAAAGAAACTCTTGACTTGGAACTTTGAGGCACTGGCAAAGCATGTAGCTCAGCAGTTCTCTCATCTGGAAGATTGAGACTATAATAGTTCCTTCCTCTTGGGGTCATTGAGAGGATGAAGTCAACTGATGCATGCAATATGTACAGCGGAGCACAGCCAGGTGCGTGGTTACTCTGGAGGCTGAGACAGGAGGATTGTTTGAGTCCAGAAGTACACAGTCAGCTTGAGTGGCAGAGCGAGAAACCTATCTCAAAGACAAAATATTGTATAAATCTTGTAGTTTGCTGTAAATAAATAATACGTGTTGATAATGAGAAGAAGAAACTTCTGACTTCTGAAAGGAGCTGAGGTAGACCATCTGGAGAGCCAGTAACAACCAGAAATCCACAGGGGAGGGAAGCAAGAGAGACACCCCCAGAGGAGGGACTCTGACTACATGCATGAACACATGCATGTCTATGCAAAGTGCTATGTTTAGGCATACTATATATATAGTAGAATATATGTATAGGCATACCATATTCTGGGAGGAAGATGGCCCATAGTATATTAGCTTCTCAGAGGACCTGATGGCACATGTGCATATACACATTTTTAAACTACTTAGCCTAAAAAAAGGAAGCAGATGAGACAAGAGGCCC